TTTCAATGCACTAGTGGTATTACCGATGATTATTACATGCATCACTTTTCCTTGATGTTTTGTTAATAATTATAAATACACCTGTTGATCCAGATAGCCGAGATCGCTAAGGCAGTAGTGTCGTGGTGATCTCGGATTGAAGTTTCAAATCCCTTCTTGGGCATGTATGTATTTGTCCCTTCTCCATCATCATCATCCTATCACTTCACTAAAGATGGTTTAATAATTCCCTGCTTGAGCAGGAGGCCCTTGTCCTTCATGAGATGTGCAGTTGGTTAATTAAATTTTTTTTTTAAAAACCTAATTCTAATACCTGTTTTATGTCTTGCAATTTATTATCTATTTTTGTTTATTGTAATTTACAGATTTTAATTAAATTTAATTATTATGTTACATCATTAGGGACAAGACTAATCAATCTATTTTTAAATTTAAACCAGTAAAATTATGTTCTTAAATTCTAGGTTATTTTTAATTGTTCCAGTGTGTTATTCTACAGGTTTTGAGAGAAATCTAGGATAACTTAATACCCTTAGTATCCCTTGGTACATTTAAAAATTCCACATAATTTTTGACAACTCTGAGCTAAGGGACATGAGAATTTACAAATTGTCCACTTACCATAATTTGTTAAAAAGAAGAAAAAAAGCCAAATAATTTTTTGCAGTTGGCCAGTAGGTTAAAAAGACGCGAGTTTTCAATTTGTTCTCTTTTGTAATTTATATTTTGAAATATTTTCTTATGAGAATTTTATTTTATAATATCTATTGTGGTCGTCAAAAAATAATAAAGGAACTTATTAGAAAATATAAATAGAAGCGCAATCAAAATTTGTATCTTATTAAGTATATATTCCATGTTAATCCCCAAAGTGTGGTTATACTACTTTCAACATCTTTTCACAAATCAAGTCCTTTGCAAGAGAGATAATTTATTTCACTAACAACATTTTTGGCTTCTTCATTTTTGAACTAATTTTGTAAATACTTTTTCAATGTACAATCTGATCAGGGAGACAGAACAGTCTCCGAAACATCAATTTTCATTGAATAAAATTATTAAATAAATCAGGATGTATTAAAGGTGGTGCTCCAAAATTAAGTAAGGGGTGAAAAACATTAGAAGACATAGGTATTTACGGGTTTGTAGATTCTTTGGTTGTTAGTGATTCCAAGCACATTATCTACTAAGGTCTGTGTGTAGGTGTTTAGTGTAATGCATGTTTTTCCTCGAAAGGTGGTAGTGGTGATCTTCCCCTGCTTGATTATGAGATCCAGCACTGACCTACCGTCAGTTAGCAGGGTTTCTCCTATACAGATATCACCCACCAGTGGGGCACCACCCAAGCTGGGACAAGCTCTAAGCTCCTGACCAGTCTCCCTGCACGTGTGCTTGTGTAGTGCATCTTAGTTTAAGTGTGTGTAGGGGTGGGGATTCGACAAGGAAGAGGAAGGAAAGATGCCTGCAGTCTGATCCTTGTTAGGGTTCTGCTCCAGTATTTGCCCGGTGTTGATGGGGGAAAACATGGAAAAGTACCAATCAGAGAAGCCACCCTCTAGAATCCTCCTCCAGACAGCAAATGTATTCAATCTAGCTGACAATCTAGTGTTGAAAATCATGCCACTGTTGGAACTGAAACCTAGGGCCTCCCAGTCAGCACTGCAGCGACATTGGCTGATTCACTGAGCCACCTCTCCCGTTCACAGGTATTTGCAAATTGTCCACTTACCATCATTCGTAAAGAAATCCTTTGAATACCGGCCTGAAAATTTTATATGTTCAGGAATGTTTCCTAAAAGCTCCATGATATGAGCAACATGGTCCTCATCCTTTGAGTACCCATCACCTTTCTGAGGTTTGAACAAAAAATCCCCAGTCGCAAGTTCAAATGCCTGAAAAAACAAAAAAACAATTCATTCTGTTTAGTTAAAGAAGTGAGGTTTTTTTTAAATGGAAATACACATTTTGATTAAAATATAGGGGAAGGGGGGATTTCAGCATGATCATCCTCCTCCCAGTGTTTAGTTAGGCTCTTTTAAGCCTGCCACTGCATACTTATTTTGGTTACATAAACTGCACATTGGGGTCTCACAGACCCCGAAGATTTTTATTGTTATAAAAGATTCAGAAAACGATGTATGATTCAAAAGCATGTTATTGTATTTTATTTTCACTTGAGGAAGCAGGGAGGAACAAACAATAACACAAAAACAAATTTAACTAGTGGTGCTACAGAATGGCACAGACTTTCTTGTATTAGTTTTATATTTTATTTGGTCTTTGCTAGCTATTCGAACTTTCTGCAAACACTTGCCAGCTGCCATGTATTGCTGCTCACCAAAAGTATAGTTTTTACTAAGAATTCTCACAATTTTTCGACTCCTAATGGTAGAACTGAAATATTACTTTAAGAATAGTACATCTCTGAGAAGGTCTTAGTTTCTGCAACCTTAGGTTTACAATAATTGAAGGACTTGAGATCAGATAGTCCTAGGCCACATTATGGCAAAATGGTGAAATTAAAATCTGTACAGTGTGATAATTCATTTTCACAAAATGACCTATCTTAATACAGTAAAACCCCGTTTTTATGTTTTCCTGTGATTAAATAATTTTTTGTTGGTCCCGTCATAAAGCCTACTTTACAATGCGTTCGCTTCCTGCAATTTACAACTTGATATGAAGAATGTTTTCTATCTTTTACGTAATTTTTATTATTTTTATTTTTTACTTTCTTGTATACATACATATTATATGTAGTGCAGAGAACTCCCGAAAGTCTTGAGTTTGTTCAGATCAATTGGGGAATATCGATTTTGGAGAAAATTAACTGATGGTTTATGCTAGCGTTGACCACTGCTTAACAAACAGACATTTTGCCATTAATTGATTTTATGGTTTCAAGGACCTATAAAACGGGGATTCAGGCTACACAGATAAGAGGAAGTAATTTACTTTGTGTAGGATTATAATTTATACATTTTTTCATTACCAGGGCCAATCAAAAGCTTTTCTGACAAAACTCGCTGTTTCCGGTACATGATTTTTTTTCTCCTCTTACCAAAGGCAAGAAAGTTCAAACAGCTACCATTGCAGTAAATACTGAAAGTACTCGCCTAGCCTAAAGTTTTTTAACCTTCCTGTATTTTACACTTTTTTACTGGTTCCCTGAAAAGTGTAAAAAAAGGGTTTTTTCTGTATTTACAGCACTGAAGGTCCAGCTGCCTTTTTTTCAAAAGAACGTATCTTTCTTCATTTAGGTGTTATTTTTATTCCAATATGCCCTTTGTGCATCCCATTGATTATATGATTAACAAAGCAAACCCACTACTAGGGTTAATTAAGAGAATGTGTGACAAGTTAAATACTACTCTCACATTGAAAATTTTATCTATAATGTAAGTTAAACCAATTTTTATGTATTCATTAGTAGTTTGGTCCCCTTTTTTTCATATTAAAACCTATTAATTAGGAAAGATCAACATAAGTTTTTGAGTTGTAGCAACTCACCTTAATTTACCAGATCCATTTAGTGATCATGACTATCATGTAATATGAGCTTTCTTAAATACCCCCTGTGATTAACATCCGATAACGTCTCCTGTGTGTGTTTTATCTGTACAATTTATTAATAATGAAATTGAAGGCCCACTTTTGTTGGAACAATGAAGGTTTTGATTTTTTACAGAAACAAGAAGAAAAGATTTTCACTAGCTTGTCTATATTCTTAACAATCCACATACTTGTAAATTAGCAAACTATAACCATTTTAATATATAGGAACCTCAAACTTTGTCGAGAAGAACAACAAAAGAAAATTACTAGTCTAGTCAGATAAATCTGTAGCATATCTCGTTATATTTTTTTCGAATTTTCTGTGTTATATTCTAATCAGGTGTTAAAATTTCAATAATTAGCAGAGAAACCTTATACACAAATCGGAGTCTGAATGAATTCACTATAATACAATCCTGTCCAAATTACACTAAAACATTGTTTTATGTATTTCTCAAAAATGTCTTACAAATATAGCTTGTACTAGTCTAATGCATTTAGTACTTGCGCTATCACTACAAATTGTAACAAGCAAGATAAGGAAAATTAGGATGTTGAAAGTTGTTGTAACTGCCCTGACAGCCTGATTGCTTTGTGTTAAATGCCTGCGTACTTATCATCTATTCATTCAAAGTTGGATTTATTTGGGGTAACCACTGATTTTAGTATTGTGACTATTGTCAATTGAAGCGATCTGAAGATTACTGTTAATATTATTCAAAACATTTTAATTATCTATCATTTTGGGTCAAGTTAAAAGTGTTTTATAACTTGTCCTTTGGCACCAAGATGAAGAAAACTAGACAGCGTGTACAAAACTTTTGGAAAGCACGCCTAAAAGGCTTAAAATGCTCATTGAGAACAAGGGAATGCATACTAAGTATTAAAAAAATGTGTATGTTATGTCAAAGAATTTAAAAAATCTCTCATATTCCTGCCTTCAGAGGGAAAGTATTCCCATGTAGTATAATCCTCAACCCTACAAGAAGCCTCTGAGCTAAATTCAAATTACCCGTTTCATTACCTGAGATAATACTTTGTTTCTCTTCTAGATGGCAAAAGAGTAACGAAATTTGCACGGTCAGACAGACGAGCGGGCTTGACGGCCCGAGTCTCGACAAGTAAAATAAGATATTATTTAATTGTATAAAACATTTCTGAATTAGAATTTAGTCCATTTGTTAATAAATAAATAAAAATCTAGTTGTGACTGCCTTCTTTGGCTACAGTATGCATACTAAAAGATGAAAAAGAGTTTTACCTCATGTGTTTGGAAACTAATGATTACACATTCAATATCTAAGCTGCTTTGGCGAGGAGATTAATGTTAAACTTACCAAGCAAGCCACACTCCATATATCTGCTGGAGTTCCATATCGAGCCCCCAGCAACACTTCAAGGGAGCGGTACTCCCGTGTCTGAGCATCTTCAGGCAGTGTGTCATTCTATAACAAAAAAAGCAAATAATAGATTTGTTTACTATAATTTTTAATTCATGGGCAGAAGTTGCATTTAGGAAGAAGATTCTTGGAGGACTCCAGACATTCCATGAGACAGAAATCCCCATTGTTGCAAGCTGAACAAATACATGCTAAAATCATTTAATGGGTTCTATAGAAATTTAAATAAATAAATTAATTAAAGCTGGTATCTAAACTAATTTGAATTTGATATCATACTAATGAGTATAACATTGAAAGCTGCATTTTGGCAAAAATTTTCCAACAAAAAGACAGAAACAAATGAACTTTCTGTGTTCCAGTGTTATTAAAAGTATGTGACTTGTCACCATTTAATACCACAAACCAATTTTTTTTTAACATACATTTTTTTTAGCACGATTCAAGTTTGTACTACAAGGTTTGTCAAGTTACACAAGTAACATTAAGATAACGTAAGTATATTGATTAGCCAGACAACGACAATAAGTTTATTTATTTATTTATTTGTTTACGGGACATTCCCTTTAATACATGTAATTATAATATGGAAGTACAAGATGCACATTTGTTAACGTTACAAAGAGTAAATTTAGGAAATTTAGAAACAATATCTAATTACAAATCAGGTGGTTTCATACAGCAAGACTCGGATAGTAAGTACATAGCTCAAGTAAATAATGTATAAAAAATCAATTTGTTTACAATACCTGTTAGCAGTAGAGACAATACAGTAGAAGGTATCATTCAATTGATAGTCAGTTTTCATAGGTTTGACAGAAAATAATAAAAGATTACATGTCAACATGCGAGGGACCCTAAATCTTGATATTAGGGAGAAAATCATTACAATTAATTTCACCTGACAAAATTTTAAATACAAAGATAAGGTCACAGATTGTTGTTCTATCCCGAAGATGAGGAATTTTATACAATGAGTAGTAATTAGTGTAGTCATGACAAAACAGCGGAAATCCATCCATTGCGAAATGCTAAGTTGCACAACAATCTGTGTTGGACATCCTTAAGATGAATTACGGCCTTACCAGAGAAGGGAGACCAAATCAGACATGCATACTCTAGGATGGGCCTAACCAGTGAGTTAAAGAGAAGTTTGACTGTGAAGAGTGATTGAAATTGTAATGAGTTTTACAGGATAAAACCTAGGGATTGCAGAGCTTTGTTAACAAAACTGTTAATGTGGTTGTTGAAATTGAGTTTACAGTCAAAGATATCTCCAAGATCTCTGACGCAGCCAAAATCTTCCCAATGTCTATATAGAAAACTAACAGTGTCCTGCTTTCTGGAGAAGCTAATGGTATAGCACTCGTCATGGTGCAATGATATGTTGTTCAGAAGGCACCAATTTTCAACTGCTAGTAAATCAAGTAGCAACTTGATGGCGTCATCAGTATCAGCTAGTGAACAATAAATCTTAGCGTCATCAGCAAAAAGAAATATATTACTGTGTTTTAAGACTGTAGTGATATCAGTGATCAGACGGAAATTGAGCGGTAGTTTGTCACATCAGATTTATCATTTTTTCCATGAACTAGGATAATCTTGCTCTTCTTCCAAACATCAGGAAAAGACCCACCTCTGAGAGATTGATTAAACAGTAAGAATAATGGACTAGCTAACTAACTAGAACATTATCCAAGGAATTCGAACCCAACGCACATACGAGCCTACCCATAATCGCCTTCATCAAACCCAGTGAGCTGACGTATTTTCTAAAATAATGCCACTAGATTCACATTTACAAAAAAGTACATAGCCATAAAAATAAATCATCGCCCAAAGACATACTGCAAAACACATGAATGAGCAATAACTATTTGGTTTATTCGCCATGTATCTATAAGTTTTTCAGCGATTTTCACATACCTATCCACTACTAACAATCATAGAGAAACAAACTAATCCCAATCACAGGATCACTTAAAATACTCATCAATCTCACAAAAACAAAAAACCCATCATGAACTTCCAGCAAATATCAATTCACACGCCTGCGTTCTGCCACAAACATCCCGCCACACCCAAGCCAAAAGTAAAACAAAAATCTATTCACTCACCAATGATCAAAGGCTACTAACGCACTGTGGTCGAAATTCGCGACTGTATCCGGACGAGTAAGGAACAAGTCTATTCTGCTGTCTCGATCTTGCCTACTTCAATTTACCAATACATCTCTCTTGGCCCTGCTTTAGTTCAAATTACTAATATCATAATGTACGTCTTAACTAGACTGAATCTTCACACCATACTGATTGGCGCGGCAATTTAAACACCATGTCCAGGAGATGACTGAAAGTAATACAGATATACCAACATACGAATTAGAAATACGAATCAATAGTTGCCCAAAAAGTATAAAAAACCACATCCCCAGTGAAGCCTTCAAGATGAACCAAATAAAACATTAAAGGGATCAAAAGGCAAGAGATCAAACCCGCAGATCAATAAGCATCCCGTCAATATCAGAAAATCAAAAATTATTGCTAAACCAGACCATCAATATCGGTCCACGTGTATTCCTGAAGAATGCCCCAACAACCAGGTAGGGAGAAAGGAAATATAAGAGTATCAACAACGTATATTTAACTACAGGAATGTAACATAGAGAGGACGGATCTATCAGCATATTATACAAAGATACACGCTCAAACACTGTATCATCAACAATATGCGCAATCTACGGGCCCACCACACCACTTGATTTATACATATAAACATTATAATCTCATTAACCATTATCAAGATGATCACAAACCACATTTCTTGACAAAGAACCACAGACCCATTCACAAAATTACCTCTCGCCAACAATTCAGACATTCCTAATATCTTTTATGAAAATTGAGGCAACCAACATAACATTGCAAGAATACTTAACCCAAAGACGATCTCAAATACCAGTTCTTTGATAGTTAAACGATCCCTAGATATTAAGCAGTATATTCCCCCCACCAGCACGAATAAATGCAAAATAAGCTATGAATCAGTCAGAGCAATACGTCAGAAAACTCAAATTAGCAAACACCCTGCTCAACTCTCAAACTGACTTACAGAACACGTATAAGATCAAAAATAACATTACAATAATGAAACACACACTATTGTTTAATAAATTACAAAAAAGTGCGGAATTACCAAACTATTCGACGAAGAGACGTCTGATTACAACAGACTTTATTATTTGACTACAGATACGCGCCTAGATCGTAAATTAACTATTATCAATTTAAAACACAAACAAAATTAAATATAGAATCTAACAGTTAATACTTTATATGAATAAAGAACAAAATAAGCAAATACTGAACCAATGATTCCTAGCAATCAAATAATTACATATAAATTATAGCACTACAATACAAAACAGCTTTATTAACTTTTTATCGAAAACAAAAATGTTCGTGAATGTGCGTCGAATAATCCCCGCAAGACTAAAGCTTAGATGAACAACTCTCTGAAGCGCTTAGAGACATAATATCTTCCTTAAAATCTTTTATACATATAAATGCAATTCGCACAAGAGGCTACTGTCAACCGGACACAAACACTACAAAAAAATTAACAAAGCCGAACGAATCACCCATTTGCTTACATTCCAGTCCACGTAATAGGAATTACATTTTTGAATAACATCTACAACCCCGAATACTCAGCGACTCCCGTCAGACCAGGACATACCCACAAGACTCTGCCCTCATCATCCATCCTAACAGAAACCTAACGTTACATAATCTATCTCAAAAAAGTCCTCGAGTTCCAAATACATTTCGGTAACAATCTTCCATCTCAGGAAGCAGCCATCCTCAAGAACACAAAAATCGTGGGCACTATTATTTCCCTTGCAGTAATTAAAAGTTCAAAGAACATCAATTCCCTTGATATCCGATCACACCAACCCACCCCACTCCAACAATCACAGCACACATGACCACAAGAACCAGCATAAACTGCCCCCAATAATTACTCAACCGCAAACACATCGCGGCCGGCCGCGTCTCGAGCCGAAAACCTCCTGGTCAGCACCATCTATCAAATTCCAAGTGCTAATCAAGCCGAATTAACTCTCTGCCGATCTCCTTTGATATCGTCTTTATGGCGTATCTTCTCAACGCTTGGCTCCTGTTCATGAATTTACTGTATAATGTGCGCTCCGCTCTGCCCGCGCGCAGTGGCGCTCGTGAGTCCTTACTAAATACAATACATCTAACCGTATCAGCCATCATATACAGCCTACCCCCACTCACATACTATCTACCTAGCCTACCCCCCCTGACTCTCACCACTCCATTATACACACTAGTATACACTACGCTTACTACTATATCCTCCAAGCGTCCTGTTCACCCTCACAAGATCTAGCTTAATTTTCATTTATTTACAGTTGAAACAACAGAGATTAGTAAACTTTCCATACGTTTGTAGGTTGGGTCTCAGATGGCAGAAACAACACTCAGCAGTTAGTAGACCATCCACGGCCTCCCGCTCCTACCCTTACCACAAACCAAAAGAGGGTCACCTTCATGCGATATTGGATCAACGCGGGGCAACCGACCGACTGACCCAGCGCCCCCATCTTGGATCTGAATGCCAAATTACAGCTGCTACAATTAACCAATCATAAGGTGAGAGAAAGAATTACCTCTAGATAAGCCAGTTTTGAAAGACAAAGATTGCTTATAATAAAATTACTTCACTTTCAGGATTTTAATCACGATCCGAATAATAGGGACCAACAAAAAAGCGGTCTATCCATTGATTTTTTTAAAAAAATAGGGAACACTCAGAATTATCTAATAATATTCTCCAACAAAGAATATAACACGATTTATATTTTAGAAAGAACTAAAAATAAGAATAGAACAAAAATATAAATAACTCACATTGTTAATCACTTTCAACATTAAACAATGTACTATACTCAATCCTTCTTATTCACAACTATTTCAAACATTTAGCGAGCACGGCACGAATCATTGCTGCGGCAT